AAAAAAAAAAAAAAAAAAAAAAAAAAAAAAAAAAAAAAAAAAAAAAAAAAAAAAAAAAAACCTATGAAAGTAACATTTAGAAGTTTAATTTTCAAAATCTAGATAATTATCAAACAAGCCTCAACAAACATAATAAAATAAAAAAAAACTTCAATCTCATTCATTACAAACAAGAATGGTAACACAATATACATTGATGCAAAAGACCAATAATAAAAGATACCCAATTTAGCCATATATCAACAGCCTAAAAATTATATAATCTGTATCCACAAACAAGAACAATAAAAGGAAAGCATGAGAATAAAATTTCCATAAGCAACATGGCAGAGTTTAAGATTCTAAGAATAAAGTCACATAAACATAATGATTTGAATTCAACTTTATAACCAATAATCAGCTTAACAATACGTTTTATAAAGTATTTCAATGACCACAATTTTCATTCAATAATAAGGAGAATCGTATTGATTTGTTAAACTAAACCCAAAAATCCCTCTTTCACAAGTCTCAGTTCTACATAAAACAAAGACGAAGACAAAACATCCCTGATAAAGGAATAATAAAAAACAAGCTGGAGTTCTGAAAAACTAAGGTAGCAAGATGAAGGAGAGGATCAGAACCATAGAGAAACGACCAACATAGCGCCATAAAAGGAGGAATTCGGGAGCGAGCTTACAGCCTTCTTCCTCTTCGTCCACCCTTTCTGCGAGTGCTGTCTGTTGGAATTGGAGTCACATCCTCTGGAATATATATCGAAAAGTAGATGGGAATTAGGTTTACACCGAAAGCAGCATACAGTAAAAGAGCTAATCAAATGTACAGTGTTCATGAATGTTGGTATATTATAGAGATAACGGCTTTACCAATACGACCAATTCTCATTCCAGAACGAGCAAGAGCACGAAGTGCAGACTGGGCACCTGGGCCGGGTGTTTTAGTCTTGTTTCCTCCGGTGGCACGTAGTTTAATATGAAGAGCAGTAATGCCAAGTTCCTTGTAGTGCAACAGACAAGTAAAAGTGTTCAGTAACAATGTAAAAAGTTCATGAAAGCTAAAAATGCAACTAAGAAAATGGAAACATTTAGAACCAGTCGATACAACGGTTACAATCTATAAAGAAATGGAGAAAAACGAGTAAGAAATAATCTAAACAGAGGATGAAACCTTGCATCTCTGAGAAACATCTTGTGCTGCAAGCATAGCTGCATATGGAGAGGACTCATCCCTGTCGGCTTTCACCTTCATCCCACCTAAGTTCATCACAACACAGAATCTCACTTCTTATTTGTCCACACAAACATAAAGAAGAAGAAAAAATAGCTTGACTGATACTTTTATCAACTATTCACTTCCACACCCTCATATATGACAATATAAATTTTAATGTTCACTTCCCCCCCTCGGAGAAATTAGAGGATCACTCTCCCGCTTTGAGAGTAGAGAAAAATAAAAGCACTGCATACACATTCCCACGTGCAAGCAAATTACCTCGTTAAAGGATAAGAAGATCCTATCTCACAACCTCTATTATAGGACTCTGATATGAGTATAGTGAGTCTAACAGACAATTAAGAACAAACTATTACCATGCATTGTATTCATAAATGCAGAAACTTTTCGTACTTCAATGCAAATCAAGGTTTAAGTAATATGCCGTTCGAGACCTCGGATTAATGATTTTCAACATTTTATACAAATATTTTATATTTACATGACCATCTACGCAAATACATATTGATAGGAACAAAAACTAGGCAATAGAGAAGGAAATATCCCAGATTCATAGTTTCAAACACTTCAATTTAAAAGTAAAAATAAGTACGAAAACATTCGATCGTTTCACCTGTGATGCGGACAAGGGTTTCCCTCCCAGAAAGATCAGTCACATGCTGCGGTTCAAACAACAAAGTCATCATTTTGTTAATGAATAAGCAACCAAATGATATGCATCTTTCCACTTACAATGAATGTATCATTAAATGAGGCAAAAATGTGAGCAACACCAAAAACATGCTCGCCTTCCCTCACGGCAGGGCCAAGTGTCACAGTTTCTTCCTTGGGTTCCCTGGTCTTCCTCCTTGAGCCAGACTATGGAATCCAGAACAAAAACGAAAGCAAAGTAAAGATTGCTATATTTCAATAAACTCTAATTAAGGTACTATCTAATCTAATGCATACAGAAACAAAGATTAAAGGCAACTCCATGCCAATCACCAAGTAAACAGAAGCATTATTATTAAACAAAAACCCAAAAACAGGTATAGGTCTTCGCTCGCTCTTCCAAACAGACAAAGTAGAGGCACACATTATAAGCCCTTAAAGTGATATAAGCCCTAAATTTCAAAACATGACAGAACAGTCTTCAAGAAATCCAAAGAACAGAGTTAGTAAACCATAACTTACATAGTGGTTTCCCAAATAAAACACACAGCATGAACCTTGATAATGAGGAATATACTCATACAGTAATCTGCCCTATCAAACTCGGGATTTAATACTTCCATTTGCACAAATTTAGGAACCGATACGAAACAATCTCATGACTCTCATGGTGTAAACAAAAAAAGACTCAAAGAAGTTCTTCACAAAAATCCCGGCATGACCAACCATGCGTGATGATCGAAAAACTCAACGGTAATCGTAAATGACAGAGGCGACCAGTAAGCAGTGATTTAGAACAAGATTAGATCTACTCACCATGTTTTCCAACAGATGAAGGAAGTATCTTCCGCTTTGTGGAGCTCTAGCGAGATTTTGCCGCCTGCAGAAATCCTTCGTGCGAGAAGAAGGGTATATGACTGTCAGCCAAAATTTATATGACGGGAGAATTAGGGCTTTTCCTGTTGGGCCTTTTAGCTGAAAGTTGATTTACCGAAATACCCCCACCATTTATGCCTAATATATGCGGCCCATAAATGGTCGAGTAGGAATTTCACAAATAATAATTTTTTTTCAATAAAAAATAGCAAAGTATAGTTGTTTAGGATGCAACCAAAAAATCAATATTTTCTTAGAAATTTCAATTAACTCATTAATTTTAATATAAAAAAAATCTCTATAAATATATTAACCGAATCAAAATTTACATAAAATTAAATTTAAAAATATTTACTAGAAGGAATGTAGTTAGGATGGTTTGTCATTGCTTCCTATTTCAATCTTTATCTCTGTAAAGTTCTCTAGCAAAGACTTTCAATAGATAATTTGCGATACTCGAATTTAATATATATAAAAGAACTAAACACGCATGTGAGTAGTTTAGGGCAAGACGAAGTATCACTCTAGCAAACCTAACATTACGATTAACTTCTTAATATATTTTATATATTTTTATTTGGTTCGGGTCAATCCGAGGGTTTTGCCCCATTAACTCGAAACCGAACCGAGTCAGTTCGAGTTCAGAAAAATGAACCCAACCCAACTCAATCTTTATAGTTCGGGTTAGATTGGTTCGAGTTGTTGGGTTGAATATACACCCGTACGTATATGTGTGTATATTTGAGTGTGTAGAATAGTAAGAACACACATTTCAATGTCTATATACTTTTTTGTTAAATGCTACCTACGAAGTTTATTTATTGTCTATTTATTAATTTTTTATTTTCAAATTAAATAGAACATTAGTATATAATTATTATTATTATCTTTTATTAAAAAGAAAAATCACCGATTGTCTTTTTTCCAAAGTTCCACGTGTCTTAATTTGATTGATCAATGATTCTAATTTCAACCCATCAAATATTTTATTTCAACAATTTTAGTTTTATCTCGAATTTTAGTAATTTAAAAGGAGTTAAAGTAACTATTAAAAAAAGAATTTAAATTAATTAATTAATTAATTAATATATTTAGGTGTTTAAAATTATTTTAATAATTTGACTTTGTTGCAATCATGAATGCCAAAATACTTAATTTTCTTTCCAATAATTTCTAAAGACAACTCTGGTACAATCGTGAAGAGTGAAAAGTTCATCACTCACGAATTTAATATTTTTTTTTGTAAAATTAATGGTATTAGCATACAGCTCACAACCGTCCACACTCTCCAACAAAATGGAGTAACTGAGCGCAAAAACACAACAATCACGAACAAAATTAGAAGCACATTATTAGATAAGTAAGTAAAAAAGAATTTATGGGTAGAAACGGTAATTTGGACCGTGCTCAACATTAGTGTTACCTTGACAATGAAAGATATAACTCCAGATAAGATTCGGAGAGGTGTAAAATCCAACATTGATTATAGTGACAGATAGTATTATGTTTAAAAAATATCTATAAAATTTTAAAAGTAGCATTAACATCTTTAACCTTTATAAAAAAAAGGTGAATTTTTTTTTGACCGTGAATATATAGATGAAACAGATAAATCTGTATCTCATTTTTCATGAATATTTTTTAAATCTAGTAATCAAAAGGTAATTTTAAAATTTAAGGGTATTTACGGTGAATATATAGATGAAACAGATAAATCTGTATCTCATTTTTTATGAATATTTTTTAAATCTAGTAATTAAAAGGTAATTTTAAAATTTAAGGGTATTTTTTAAACGAAGTATTAATTATTTATTTTTTAAAAAATTTAAAAATATTATTGAAAATTTTAAAATTCAATATATTTTCGTAGCAAATTGGGAAATTGAATTTTTATTTTTATTTTTATTAATTTCACCTTAATTATTTTCTTTGAATAACAAATAAATAAACGCAGGGATCAAAATTCAAAGCTATATGTATGTTAATTTAACCTCATCTTCGAATCTCCCAACAGATTTCCGCGCGTAGGTAGCAAAGGAAGTCGACGATCCGGTCAGTATGAGTTCCACAACCGTTCTTCGAGAGCTACAACGCGAGCTTGAGTCGAAAGCCAACGATCTCAGCAAGCTACAAAAAGGTGAGCAGAATCGTTTCTCGTTTACTTCCTGTTCATACGATTAGCACGATTTATGGAAATATCAATATTTTAATCAAATACTGCGACGATTGTTGTATCTGGATTCAACACTAACTATTTACTTGCCAAAAAGCCTAACATGGTGATCGATTCTTCAGATATTGCGAAGAATCACCAAGTGAGGAAGAAATACACTATTCAACTTGGTGAGAACGAGCTCGTCCTCAAGGTTTTGCCATTCCTTTCACTTGTCTTTATCATGTTTTGAAGTCTATATTCGTGCATAGTTTTGGTGACTTGAGTATTTCTATCTGTGAAGAAGTGTTGCAAAAAACAGAATAGATTATATAGAATTTTCTCTTCCCCGTTTCAACTTAGACATTCCTGTGTTATAATGAACTATGTTTCAAATGAAGTGAAAAAATCTGGTGTACAAAAAGAGTTTGGTGTACAATAAGAATTTGAAGCATTCATATCGGTGGACATTTCTTTTTATCAGCATAATTCTTTGCTACAAGGTGTGAACCTTTTTTCTCTTGCTTTTCTTGTTTGCTTACATACGCAGGAATTGGATCTACTCAGAGATGACGCAAATGTATTTAAACTGATTGGTCCAGTGCTCGTGAAGCAGGATCTGGCAGAAGCAAATGCAAACGTGCGCAAGAGAATTGATTACATCTCTGCAGAATTGTATGTTTTTTTTTTCCATTATTTTTTCCTTTTTGGTTTTTTTAGGTCATGGATAGTAGTGACTCTAATACAGTAATACCAATCATTTGAAAACCATCATTAAACTAATTACTCGATGTGATTTTTTTCAAAGTGTCTTCTTCATTTTACATTTCTCTTATGTCTCTCGGTTATCAAGTTGTTACTTTTTTTTTAAATGAGGCGGTTTTTTAGTTTTTGGATGGTTCTAACTTAGCTATAGTTGATTGTATTATGACTCTGTATGTGTTGAAACTCGTAAGCCCTTGTCAGGCATACTATTTGAAACATTAGCTATGATTGTGAAAAGTAATGGGGCAAGAGAAACACCTTGTTTACAGCCTTTATGATGTAGCAGGGATTAGTGGTTAATTCCTTGGTTAATTATGATTATGATTATGATTATGATTAGTTTGTTTGGTTAATTCCTTGGTTAATTAAGATTAAGATGAAGATTAGCTTGTTTGGTTAATTCCTTGGTTAATTAAGATCAAGATTAGTCGTTTGATTTCTTGGTTAATTAGGATTATGGTAAGTTTGTTTGGTGAATTCGTTGTTTAATTTGGATTATGATTAGTTTCTTTCCAATTCTCCATAAGCCCCTCTTGTATTCCTAACTTTTTATTCTTAATAAATATTTGATTGATTTTTGGAGAGAATTTATCTTCTTAGGTCACACCAAATTAGAATCAAAACAATCATTTGAGCCAATAATGGCTGTCGTCCGGGGAGGATTGAAAAACTCTTGTTGATGCTGATCACAAGAGGGAGTTTTGTGAGTTGTGCTTGTTGTTCAACAACTCACATTTATATACAAGAGGTTTCTTTCAGAGTATTTATTCCCTTTTCAAGAAACAGGGAAGAATATTCAAGAATGAAATTTTGCTACACAAGAAGACAGTTCAAAGCCACTAAATCCACTTGAGGATTTGGATCATGGCCAATGGAGGTAGAAAATTATTCAAGGACACACCTAAATCCCGACATAGATTGTGAAGCCTTGGGGGGAATCAAGAATGGGGTGGTCGAAATCTATCAAATTTTGGATAAAATGTTTAGCGATTTTGATCCATGTAACCAAAAAGTTCAATACGTGTGAGAACTTGCTCGACCAAAGTTATCATGCAATTATTTCAAAATTCCATGTGTAACAAAGGAAGGTGAAAAACATTCAATCGCGTGAAAGAAAAACCTAGCGAAGGTGATGAAACAAACAAAATAGAAATTGCTCGAAACTATGGAATCGTGCAATAGGAATCTAAAGAACCTTGACTGAAATTCTATTGTGAAGAAGGAAGGAAAATTGATGCAGTAGGTGCGTAATTTTTGGGAGAGAGAGAATATGATGAAGGAGAATTAGTGGTTAATTAAATATTTTTGTTAATTTCATGGTTAAGTAGGGTTATGATTCGATTGTTTAGTTAATTCCGTAGTTAATTAAAATGAGGATTAATTTGTTTGGTTAATTAGGATGAGGATTAGTTTGTTTGATTAATTCCTTGTATAATTATGATTAAGATTTGTTTGCTTTTCCAACTCTCTATAAATAGAGAAGCACTCTTGTATTCTCTGACTTTTCATTTATAATAACAGTTCGATTGATTCTTGGAGAGATAGCTCTTCATACCCTCTTAGGCTACACCGCTATACAGGCTTGATAAGCCCTACAAGCTTATTTTATTGTCAAGGAAAATGGAAAACAAAATGTGGGAGATGCAGACATGCCTCCAAGATTTCCATTTGGGGCCAAAGTCATTCCTTGCAAGAACCTTGAGAAAATAATGTATTGAGCTTTTTAAAAGTTAATCTTCATAACTCACCTCCCCATTTGCCTCGTGAACATAGCTTAGCAGTTATAACATCTAACTTTTCAATCACGATAAAGATTTTATTGATTCTTGGAGAGAGAGTTCTCTTTTTATCCTCTTAGACCACACTACTTTACAGGCTTGATACGACCTAGAGGCTTATTTTATTGTTTAGGAAGATGGAAAATAAAATGTGGGAGATGCAAGCATGTCTTCAAGAAAGTCTTTCTTTGTAAGAACGAACCTCGAGAAAATCTTGATCTATCATGTATCGAGATTTTTTGAAGTCGAATCCTCATAATTCACCTACCCACTTACCAACTTGAGCATAGTTTAGCAGTTCAAATATCTACTCCTCTCTTTGAGATCAAAGTTTCAAGTTCCATTCCATCTTTGTTTTACTAAAAAAAAAGCTTCATACTCCACCCTTTTTCTTCCTCTCTTAATAGTTTTCCACTATCTTGTTGTCAAGTAAATGGAATCAACTATTTGACGATTAGGCACGAAGGCTGGAGGATTGGGGGAATGGTAGCAGGGATAGCCTCTTTCAGCTTGTTCAGAAGCACATTGGAACATTTTGTACAGTCTACTTTTACCAAATTGATGGGATGATGTTAGATACTTTGAGAAACCCTCTCTTTCTTTGGAATCAGACTAAAAGAAGTCTGATTAATGTAAAAGGTAGGAACATCCGGCTCAAGGAACTTCTGAAGCACCTCAAGCAGATTATTTTTTGGTAAATATTCCAACACTTATTTAAAAATTCAGAAGAGTGACTATCTGGGCCTGGAGCTTTGTAAGTTTCAAGTTTATTGGCTGTTTTAATCTCTTACACGGATACAAGTCTTTCCAAATGTTGACCATCTTCCTAGATATAGGTCTCTGTCCCAACTTGGTGAGAAAACAAGATAGGGAATCTTTTTTTCTTTTGATTTGAGAGGAGATAAGAACTTATTGAGTCAAATTATACTTCTTGGAAGGCTAGAATGAAAATTTATTTGCAATCAGTTGATTATAATTTATGGTTAAATGTTTGCAAAGGTCCTTACATTCTAATGAAAATTGTTAATAATATTGAAGTGCCTAAATTAGAAGAAGAATTTGATGAGCATGATATGAAAAAATGTTCCTTTAATGCTAGTGCTATAAATTATTTTTATTGTACTTTTAAGTAATTTAATAAAGTGTGAGTTAAAAAAAAACAAAAACAAAAATTAGCATGTTAGTCCATAATTATGAACTATTTTAAATGGATGTAAATGAGTCTCTTATTGATATGTTTACTAGATTTACTAATATTATAAATGCTTTAAAAAATCTTGGCAAAAGTATATTCTACCAAAATCTTGGCAAAGTATATTCTACCTTAAAAAATGTAAAGGATTTCACAAGACTTCGAGGCCAATGTTTGTGAGATCCTTTACGTTTTGAATTGCTTATAATATTAGTAAGTAAATCTAGTAAACATATCAACAATAGATTCATTTACATCCATTTTGAATAGTTCATAATTATGGACTAACATGTTAATTTTTTTTTTTCTTTTTAACTTGTAGAAGAACACAGACATTTGGTTAAATTCATCATTACTTAAGGCACAATAAAAACAATTTATAGCATTAGCATTAAAGGATATCATGCTCATCAAATACCTCTCTTAATTTAGGTACTTCAATGTTATTAATCATTTTCATTGGAATGTAAGGACATTTACTAACATTTAGTATAATTTGGCCCATCAAAATAAGGAGGTAGAGAGATAGATTATCCTTTAATAATGCGGTTATTAACTCGTAGGTTTGCCATATACTCAAACAATAAAGTTTATGAAAAGAAATTGAGTAACTTGCTCTCATACCAATTGTTGGATTGGTTTTTTTTTTTTTTTTTTTTTTTTTTTAAATTCGAACTTTTTATCAATTGAATGTCACAATTAATACGACAAATGTATAGAATAATTCAATCTAAGATAATAAACAATTAAAAACAAAACTAACAAATCACGATAATAATTTCAAAATTAAGGGAGATAGAGTTGGAGAAAGTAAACACGATAATTTTATAGTAGTTCGGTCAAATTCGACCTACTCCACTCTCCAAGTGCCTTTTGGTATAAAAATTGATGTTGTATCATGAAAACAGGTAATCAATGAAGAAAACTCCTAGACTATTGTTATAATCTTAGAAGACTATATGTACTTCTAAACAACAAAAAGGTTACAAGGTAGAGGTTGGTAGCGAAAACTTGTGTCAAAGGACGTTTTTGAAAGATAATGCTCCGAATATAAAAAGAAAATACTATGGCTACAAAAATATTTCTCATCTTTTCTCTACTGCCTGTATCTTTTTCTTTCTGAACAAAGAGACGTAAATTGGTTGGAGATAGCCTTTCTGCAAAGGAAAGGTTATTAGGAGGAAGGGTCAAGGTTTTGATAATGCAGGTTTATGGAGGGAAGGCTGTTCAACCATTTTTTCTCAATAGCTGGTGGAACAACCTATTTTTTCTTCTTACTGTTGCCTCCCAGATGGAGATGTTGAGAGAGAGTTGAACACAGGGAAGGGGATAAATGAAAAGAGGGAAATATAGATCAAACAAGAGAGCAGAGTCGATTTTTAAAATCTATTTCCTTGCATTTTGTTCTTTATCATTTACGACATTCTTCTTCCATATACGTTTACGATAGCGATAATATAGTTTTCTCATGCCAGTCGCCATTTTCATGCGTTTTAATTCAATAATATTTACACAATTCAGGAAACGTCTGGATTCAGCCCTTCAAGATTTGGAAGAGAAGCAAAATAGCAAGAGAGACGCTGTATGTTCTTCTCTACCTCATCGATCTTAAATTTAACCCTTTGGCTGATATTTGCAGGACCTCAACAAAAAGCAATAAAACATTTTTATTTTGTGTATGATTCTTGCATGATTAAATATGGTTTCTTCCTCTTTCAGATTCATTTTAATCTTTTATCTTTCTTTCCCAATACAAAAGAGTTACAATAAACTTATCCAATTGAACAAAAAGTAGAAAGCTATAAGAATGAAAATGTGGGGACGATTTACCCCAAGTATCATTAGTATCAACACGAGATGTGAATTTCAATAAAGAGCTTGAGTCATGAACTCACTTCAAGTTATTAAGATTATGGATAGAACAATCGAGTAGAATTTCATGACTTTAAACACCTTTACGTTTTCTATTGAACACATTAGGTTTGATCGTTAAGAGGAAATGATTGGCCCAAGCAGCTATTTATTGAAGATTACTTATTGTTGGTTTTCTGTTTTCCAGATATTGAAGTTACAGCAGAGGAGTCAATCTCTGCAGGCTGGAAAAGCTAAAGCGTAACATGTTCGGTTGTTTTTTTAGATGTACGTCCTGAACTTCTGTTTATTTTTTTGCAATCTCTCTTGTACCAGTTAAAGATGCACTGCTCACCCAAAAGCTTGACAATATTTAGTTAATTCAATTTTTATAATAGATTTGTGCCTTGCATCTGTTGAACTTTTATACTTCTTGCAAAGTATTTACTGAGAACTTGGCATCCTCTAAAAATTATTTAGTATATGTTTATTGACAAAACTTGGCATCTTCAAGGAAGAAGTATTGATGTTAAATTGCTTCTGAATTTCAAGGGTATAAGGGGTGTTTTATCCATCCTAGGGTGGTGTCTGCCACATTGGTCTAAATGGACTTTTGCTATGATTATTGTATGTGCTCTTGTATTCTTCTCCGTCTGATTTATTTCCTTCACAGCTTAACTAACGGTGGTTTTTTAGGATATTTAGCCTGAATTATGTACCATATGTATCATATTTGACCGTTTATTATTGACAAATATCTTGTATAATATTTAGCCTTCCATCACAGTTTACCATAAGTATCTTGTTTGACCCTTTATTATAGACAAATATCTTGTATGATATGTAGCCTTCCATTACGGTTTACCATAGGTATCATGTTCGATTCTTTATTATAGACAAATATCTTGTATGGTATTTGGCTTTTCATTACGGTTTACCATAGGTACCCTATTTGACATTTTATTATAGACAAATATCTTGTATGATATTTAGCCTTCCATTACGGTTTACCATAGGTATCAAGTTCAACTCTTTATTATAGACAAATATCTTGTATGGTATTTGGCCTTTCATTACGGTTTACCATAGGTACCATATTTGACCCTTTATTATAGACAAATATCTTGTATGATATTTAGCCTTCCGGTTTACCATAAGTATCATGTTTAACCATTTATTATAGACAAATATCTTGTATGATATTTAGCTTTCCATTATGGTTTATCATAAGTATCATGTTTGACCCTTTATTATAGACAAATATCTTGTATGATATTTAGCCTTCCATTACGGTTTACCATAGGTATCATGTTTGACTCTTTATTATAGACAAATATCTTGTATGATATTTAGCCTTCCATTACAGTTTACTATAGGTATCATATTTGACATTTTATTATAGGCAAATATCTTGTATCCATTTATTGCTCTTTTCATTTCTTTTGTAATTTATTTGATTCCGTAAATGATTATAAATAGAGAACTTTCACCGCCATATAGGTGTGTTAGTTAGCAAATATTCTCACCATACACCTCTTTGTTACCCATCTTTTAAGTCTACAATTATTGGGCCACGTTGCCATCCCCATTTTAGTCTGACTTTCACCACGTTGCCATCCCCACGTTGCCCATCTTTTAAGTCTACAAAGGGGTTGGACATAAAGCGGTGTGCCAACAATGACGTGGGCCTCAAAGAGGGGTGGATTAGGGGTCCCACATCGATTGGAGAAGAAATGAGTGCCAACGAGGACGCTGGGCCTCGAAGGGGGTGGATTGTGAGATCCCACATCAGTTGGAGAGGGGAACGAAACATTTTTTATAAGAGTGTGGAAACCTCTCCCTAGAAGACGCATTTTAAAAACTTTGAGAGGAAGCCCGAAAGGAAAAGCCCAAAAAGAACAATATCTACTAGCGGTGGGTTTGGGCTGTTACACACACAAAGATTGGTGGCACATAAAGCGTTTCGAACGAGATTCTGTCCTCATTTGGTAGTTTTAAATCAAAATGCAGAAATCTATTGTTTTAGGCCGTGGGTATAGTTTTTTGAGAATGACTTTATTTGCCACAGTTCCTAGACTAACTTCTTTGCTTACTGAATTTTAAAATGTATCATTTCTATCTGTTATTTTGCAAAATATTAAATTAGCTATCAACAACCACCACAAGCAGCTTCACTCTCAGGAAGGTAGACATGAAAGCAAGCGAGGTATGTCTAGTTTCTTTTTATTGGAGTGACGGGTGTTAAAATATCATCACTAGCTCAATAGGGTCAAGCCCAATAATTGTACGAGCCTATTGAATATTAACTCTTAGGAAAATGATTTAAGTATTTTAAAATAAAAACATCTATATATTTTAGGAATAAATTGTTTAGCCTCTACTATAGATACCCCTCCATCCTACCTAGGTTTTCATCCCAAGAAATACAAAGTACAGAATGCAGCAGATGTTTCTACAGAGTGTCCTATAATCTATTCTCAATTGGTGTTAATAAGGAGTGCGAGTGTAACAGCTTGAGTCCACCGCTAGCAGATATTGTCCACTTCGGACTTTCCCTTCAAGGTTTTTAAAACGCGTTTGCTAGGGAGAGGTCTCCACACCCTTATAAAGAGTGTTTCGTTCTCCTCCCCAACCGATGTGAGATCTCACAGTGAGTGTTTTCTACACAGAATTGTGTTCAACATGTAGGGAAAAAAAACGAAGAGAGAGAGACACAAAAGGGACTATGCGCGGAGGGCCTTCTCGTGGTGATGATTATATCAGAGATAGAAATGCAGTTGAGATGACCATGGTGGAAGGGGATGAGAGGTATCAATAATTTTTTTATGGCATACTTTCCACGTTTCTTTTTGAAACTAATGATTCTCCTTTTGAATGGCCTTGATTTTATTTCTTCATATTGATTTTAAGCTGAGACAAAAATAAAGTATGATATGGTAAATGACATAGAACCCATTTGGAAACCAAGCAAGGAGGTCCATTTATTGTGAATCATCATCGTGCTACTGATCATAACCATTCTGTTCTTTGTACATTTGCCCAAACCCCAAATGGAACTCCCTGCCGCAGACCATTGTTTTTGTATGGTTTTAGTGGCTTGTTAGCTTGAGCTTCAACATACGCCACATTCGCAAGAAGTTATACCCATAAACTAGGATTTTTCTGATTCATTTCTTTTAGAAAATGGAGGATGTGATGCTTGTCCTATGTCCTGATCCTGGATGAGTCGATGTGCCTAAAATTGGTTTCCATTGAATTGAGAAATAAGTTCAACTATTCGTCCCTAACCCCGAGTTTTGAGGTTGCCAAAAAATACTCTAGGCCATACTCCGTTTTCACCAAGTTTGTGGCTGCAGGTATCTTTAAGGACGACTGATGCTCGCCAAGGGTAGGAATTTGAGCTAAGAGTGATAAGCGTGTGAAAGTAATTGAGATTTTGAATAAGAATCCCCGTTTTAACCAAGCTCACTATTGTCGTTTCTGACATGAACGCATCCATTTAATGCGTTGTGATGCACATCTATACATGAAATAGAGGCGGAAAGACTTAGAGTTCTTGAGAGTGATATATGTTTGGTTTTGTATACATGATGCACATGGGACGATGTATTATTAAGTCCCACTATAGTTATTTCTCATTTGATTGCATATTCAGACTCTTACACTGGAATCACTTATAAGTGTATTTTTAATGCTTAATATTTTTTCTTGAAGAATAGGTAAGGTGGGTGACATATTGTTTGTCGAATGTGTAATATTGTTTGTCGAATGTGTAATGGGTCGAAGTCAGTCTAGAATCTAGCTTTTGCATTTATGTTATTTCATTCATTTTTTTTTAATGAGATTGTATTATGAGATTCTTTAAATTATTTTATATTTCGATGTATTTATATGTTTTATGAAGTATTTCTTTTGGTTCTATTAGCATACGTGTAGTAACGACTTTAATCAGACGAAGTATAAAGGTGTCGGGTCGTTGATTCTGGCTTCTATATACTCATAGTCCCGAAGAATAATCACATAAAGATATCGATATCAAAGGGTAGCTCCAAGTTTCACTTTCTCAGAGCAAATGGGGTGCCAACTTTTTACTACACACTGCAAATTAGATGTCTAAACGCCGAGAAGCACGCGTAAGGTACTTGGTATTCGATTTTGTGGTCTGCATATCTGATCATTATATCATCCACAATATTAGCACTAAGGGCAGGCTTCCCCACAAAGGCCTACCAACCCCACAAGCAAGAGGATAAGACCCCTTTTAGGTTTTGGTTGTTCTTTCTCAATAGTGAAAGCAAAACTTCTCTTAGCTTTTTGTTGTCCTTGTTTTGTGAATTGTAATTTGAATGTTTCTATCCTTTTCTTCTTCCTCTTGAGATGAATGAAACTAGATATGAAATGTTAGGGTCGTTACTTTCTTAGGGTTTTTTTATTTAGTTACGTGAGATTCCACGTTCTTAATCTTGATAGAACTGGTGGGCACCGGACGGTGTGTCAGCGAGGATGTTGAACCCCGAAGGGGTGAATTGTGAGATCCCACATCGAGAGGACGCTGAGCTCCAGAGGGGGTGTATTGTGAGATCCCACCTTGAGAGGACGCTGAGCCCCAGAGAGGGTGTATTGTGAGATCCCACATCGAAAGGACGTTGAGCCTTGAAGGGCGTGATTGTAAGATCCCACATCGATTAGAGAGGGAACGAGTGCCAGCGAGGACGTTGGGCTCCGAAAGGGGGTGAATTGTGAAATCCCACATCGATTGAAGAGGAGAACAAGTGCCAGAATCCTCGCTAGTCCTGAGTGGGGATGAATTGTGAGATCCCACATCGGTTAGAGAGAGAAACAGAACATTTTTTCTAAGGATGTGAAAACCTCTCTCTAGCATATGTGTTTTAAAAATTGTAAGGGGGAGTCCAAAAGGGAAAACCCAAAAAGAACAATATCTGCTAGCGGTGGGCTTGAGCTGTTACAAATTCACTATTCTAAATGAATTTATAACTTTTTAAACCAATTGAGTTCCACTCAAGTCGATAAAAATCTTAAATAGATTGGATGTTAACATTGAGGCTGAACTATTAGTGGTATGTTTACGAGCATACGCCCTACTGGTAGGATTATGTTCAATTAAAGAAAAAAAAGGGTTTGAATCATAACCCAATAATTTCTCTTTGCTATAAAGTGGTGGATGATATTTGCATAAAAATGGAAAAAAAACAAAGGTGTCCTAAATAGCATGATGATATTCATTGAAATTCTTATGCAATAATCCATGCTCCTTGTACGTCAAAATCCCACTCTTTCTTGGAGACAGTACGATTATGCAATAATGCTGTCTCTTGTCATTGCTATAAAAAATTAATATTAATACATATTTATAAATATACAACAAAAAGATCGATCCATAGAAACCCAATTTTAGTTACCGATCTT